TTATTGTTTTATCTTGCTTTTTGATTCTTCTGAGACAAGCTCTCACCATGCAGTTCAGGCTGGCTTTGAACTCACTATGTAGCCCAGGCTGGCCTTGAACTTGTGGTAATTCTCCTGCCTCAGCCTCCCGAGTGCCAGAATGACAGGTGTGCGCCATAATGCCCAAGTTAAATTTTGATTTATCTTCTCCATCCTCCTTCATTTCCCACAGCCTTATGACACTGGTCCTGGAGGAGGGTGGGGGCTGCAGACAAAATCACCAGGGAGGTTGAAGTTAGACCCAGATTGGAACCATTCCCCTGGCTCAGGGCCGGGGGTCTGTGTCCAAACGCTGCACCCCTGGCTCTCACAGGTAAGGGGCCCAGCTGCGAGGGCACCCTCCGGGCTGTGGATCCCCCAGTGAGGCACCACAGCTACGGGCGCCACGAGGGGGCTTGGATGAAGGACCCTGCGTCTCAGGACGACAGGATCTACGTCACCAACTACTACTATGGGAACGGCCTGGTGGAGTTCCGCAACCTGGAAAACTTCAAGCAAGGTCAGAGTCCCGGAAGTGAGGGGGACGGGGTGTGGGCAGCCTGGCAGGGGCTCCTGAGACTTGGGCTTCCTTTGCCTGATGGTTTCCTGGGTGCAGCCCAGCTGGCTCCAGATTGTCACCTGCGCCAGGGAAGAGGGCTGGGGGGACCAGGCGGGGCTCAGCCAGACCCTGAGGCACCACCTAGGTGCTGGGGCCGCACCTGGAATCAGAAGACAGAGGCAAAGACAGTCGGTGCCGCCCCGAGTGTCACTGACTTCCCCGGGAATGCTACTGAGCCTCCACATGCTGAGTGCTTGCTGCATGCCAGTCAACCCGTGGCATCTGATAGTCACCAGGAAGTGGGGTTGTTCCCTGTTTTATAGCCCAGCAGCCCTGGGCCTTAGAGGAGCTGCAGGCCTGGGCAGAGACCACAGTGCCACCACTGTCTGCAGAGGGAAGGGCGGAATTTGAGTTCTCAGGTCTGGGGTGTGGTGGGAAGGGACTGCAGCCATCCTCCAGAAAGCCACAGTGTAGTTCAGAGGCAAAAGCAAAGCTCCACTGTCAGGGTACAGTTCAGAGCGCTGTGAGGAGCGGGGGAGACTCCAGGGGTGGAGGCATGGGAGGAAGCCAGGCAGAGGGAGGGGCAGCTGTTGGGGGCAGGAGGCTCAGCATGTGCAAAGGCCCTGGGACAACATACAGGGCTGGCTTCACCCTGCATCTCAATCCTACCTGTGCCGGGCACATGGGGTGGCACTACCACCTCCTTCTTGTGGCAGTGAAATAAAGGGACCGTCTTGCTGGTCTCCTGGGGGCTCAGGCTGACCTCTGCCCCCCACTCGCAGGCCGCTGGAGTAACATGTACAAGCTGCCCTATAACTGGATCGGCACCGGCCACGTGGTGTACCAGGGCGCCTTCTACTACAACCGGGCCTTCACCAAGAACATCATCAAGTACGACCTGCGCCAGCGCTTCGTGGCCGCCTGGGCCCTGCTGCCCGACGTGGTGTACGAGGACACCACCCCGTGGAAGTGGCGTGGCCACTCAGACATCGACTTTGCGGTAGACGAGAGCGGCCTGTGGGTCATCTACCCCGCAGTGGACGACCGCGACGAGGCCCAGCCTGAGGTGATCGTGCTGAGCCGCCTGGACCCCGGCGACCTCTCGGTGCACCGGGAGACCACGTGGAAGACGAGGCTGCGGCGGAGCTCCTACGGGAACTGCTTCCTGGTGTGCGGCATCCTCTACGCCGTGGACACCTACAACCAGCACGAGGGCCAGGTCGCCTATGCCTTTGACACCCACACGGGCACTGACGCGCGGCCCCAGCTGCCCTTCCGCAACGAGCACGCCTACACCACCCAGGTCGACTACAACCCCCGGGAGCGCCTGCTGTACGCCTGGGACAACGGCCACCAGCTCACCTACACCCTCCACTTCGTGGTCTGAGCAGGAGCGGCGGGGGAGGGGAGGAGTTTCCCCAGCAGCTCCTGCGGCCATGTCAGCAAGTATTTATTGGGGTGTCCAGGAGCTGGGTGGCAGGCCTGTGGCGGGAGTCAGAATAGCGCTCCCTTCATACCCACCAGGTGACGCTGGCTTCTACTTGCAAAGCGTCAAGCTTTACATGCAATCAACCTTTTAGCCCTCCTGACGCCTCCCTCGAGGTAGAAATCATAGCTCATTTACAGCGGGGCGTGGTGGTGCACGCTTGTATTCTCAGCACTCTGGAGGCCGAGGCAGGAGGATTGATGCAAGTTCGAGACCAGCCTGCACTACAAAGTGAACTCAAGGCCAGCCTGAACTGCAAAGTGAGACTCTTCACAAAAAGACAGAAAAAAACCAAACAGATGAGGAGGGGGAGGTCCAGAGGGGCCGGCTGTGTTCTCATTGCCCCATTTCACAGATGGGGAAACCTCGCCAAGTTCTTGCGCCTTCCCCTGCCTCCCTTCACTCAGCTCTTTCTCACTCCTCAGGGCTACTCAAAGCCCAAGGTCATGGGGCCAATGCGCTGGTTTTCTGCAACCCCAGGCTCCCGTTCTTTTGGTTTTTAGTTTTGAGACGGGGGTACTATGTAGCCCAGGCTGGCATCAAACTCACAGTGATCCTCCTGCCTCAGCCTCCCAAATGCTGGAGTTACAGGCGTGCGCTGGCTGCCAGGCCGCTCTTGGCTGAGCCGATGGTGGCCCTGGGCTTCAGGCCTCATGGCCAGCATCCCTGTTTCTTGCCTTGGGTCAGCCCCATGCCCCACCCGCCCGCTGTCCAGCCACATTCCAAACATCCACCGTCACCTCGCCACTGAGAGAGGCCACACCCAGAGAGAAGCTGGCCTGTGTTCCCGGCCCTCCCTCTGTCCTCACCCCAGTGTCCTTTGTGTTCCTTGGTGCCGTCATTTGTTGTGCAGCAGCTGAGGAGGCCGAGGCAGCTGCCCGCCAGCAGCAGCTCTGCCCGGGCGTGGCGCTGCCCGGGGCCCCTCCGCCCGGCAGCACTTTGGCCGCAGTCCCAGACCTGGTGCTGCCCAGAGCCTTCTGGCCTGGGCTCCTTTCTCTGCAGGTTCCAAAGCCACGCTGACACACTCAGGGACACCTCCGGGGCTGCTGCGGGCAAGGGCCAGCTCCAGGCAGGGCCGGGCCAGCGTGGGAGCCTGGGGCCAGGGAAGCCCAGAACGGGAGCGGGGAGCGCGGCGGGGGTGAGCGCGGGGCTGGTCCTGGCTTTGAGATGTTGGTACCAGGGCTGCCGAGCTGGGGACTTGGGCTGGGGAGGCACGTCCTAGGACGGGCCACCTGGCCTGGCGCAGCCACCTCAGACCCGGGCAGGCGTCCCAGGGACACTGGGCAAGCCTGCCCTCCTCCACATTACAGCCAGAGAGCTTCTGGAGGCAACTTTGTTTTACCAAAGAGAAAACGCCCAGAAAGGTTTAGGGGATGGCTCGGAGGCACTCAGGAAGCAGGGCCCAGCGGATCTCCTTCCAGAAGGGCTTTGGTGCCTTTATTCTCTTGGCTCAGCTCAGAGACAGCTCCCCCTGGGGTGGGGAGGGCAGTGTAGACACCCAGCACCAAGCTCCTGAGCACCAGGCCACCCAGCACCTTTGAAGACACCTACGCCGGTCCTGTGTGGTGGCACACACTTGGTATCCCAGCACTCAGGAGGCTGGGGCAGGAGGATCACTGCGAGTTCGAGACCAGTCGAGGCTACTAATTTTAAGGCCAGCTTGAACTGCAAAGGGAGACCGTGTCTCAGTCAATCAATCAATAAACAAAGAGGCAGGCCCGGTTGCCCCGTTAGGAATTTCAGCTGCTCAGCTGAGAGGCAGGGAGATGCAGCTGGCACGGCAGAGTACGTTGCTTCCAAGCAATGTCAGGTGACGCTTTGCGTCTGCCACAGGTCACCTCTGAAACAAAAGCGGATGGGGAGCCCGCCCAGCCACGTCCAGCCTCCCCTGCCCAGTGCTGCCCAGGCCTCTTGGGGGGCTGCGGCCCAGGCCTGCCCTTGGCCCTGGGCATGGGCTTTACGCTGCGTGCTCTGTGATTTCACAGCCTTGCCGCTGAGCAGCTTCTCTGTGAGTCTGAGCAGGGCGGGCTTCGAACGGGAGGTTTTGAAAGGACAAGCGGCCCTGCTTCCCGGGGGGCAGACACGGGCTGCAGCCCCCAGATCCGCCCCCGGTGCCGCCTGTCTGTTTTCAGGCATTTGTCTGCACTATGAGGTAACTGTGATTCTTGGCCTCCTCCACAGATGGTCCTACTGGAGCCCCGAGAAGTTGTCACTTGCCATGGAGGGAATTAAGGGAACCGTGAGGTTTCAAAATCAGATCATAGGGGCTAGGGAGTTAGCTTAGTCGCACAGCGCCTGCCTGGCAAGCGTAAGGTCGTGAGTTCAATCCCCAGTACCAGGGAAAAAAAAAAAAAATCAGATCACAGCTATAGTCCCAGCACTCAGGAGGCTGAGGCAGGAGGATCACCTGAAAGTTTGAGGCCAGCCTGGAGTACATAGTGAGTTTGAGGCCAGTCTCAACTGCAGAGCAAGACCTTGTCTCATAAAAATAAAGTCATTAACGGAGAAGCAACACTGTGCTGAGAGTAAGCCACACACATGTCCTTCTGTCTACACAGCAGTGAACAAACACATGCACTCTGTACCCATGTCACAGATGAGAACACTGAGGCAAAGTGCCTAACCCAAGGTCACACAGCGACCTAGTCTGTGGCAGGGCTGGGGTTTTAGGCTGGGCGGAACACATTCTTTGCCAACTGCAGCCTTTCTGGTGGCAGCTCTGGAAATGGTAGCTGTTGCTCTTACTCAGTGTGGCCAGGTTAGGATCCCGAAGAAGAGGTCTAGGACCAGCTTGTACAGAGCCTGGAATACCAAGCGCAGGAGCGACCACCTCCAACCAGAACCAGCCTGCATCTGCGGACTTGGAAGCTCTAAAGGAAACCTGATGCCCACCAGCACTTTTTCTAAACCTACGCAGGGCTTTCTTGCAATTAGCAACAGGTGCTTCAAACCAGGAAGGGTCTAGGTGAGGAGCAGGGGACAGCTTTTCTCACCCACTGCAGCTCTGAAGGCGAAGGAAGCTGCCTCCTGTGTTTCTTGTGTTTTTGTTTTTTTAAATTGTTTTCTTGTTTGGTTTTTGAAATAGGGTCTCTCTGTGTAGCCCAGGCTGGCCTCGAACTCCCGGCAATCCTTCTGCCTCAGCTTCCCAAGTACTAGGGGCATAGGCGTGCGCCACCACAACTGGCTTTGTCTCCCAAGTTTCTGAAAAGTGAAATGTGGTACAAGGGAGGTGGCTTTGGTCGCCACCTAGAGCTTGTCTGCAGTCTGGGCTCCCTGGGGGGGAAGAAGGAGTCCCTGGGTTAGGGAAGTGGGTTAGTCCCTGGGTTAGATGCACAGCGTGCATCTGGGAACTCGGCCTGGGATGACATGTGGGCTCCTGAAGCTGTGTTTCGCAGCCAGCACCGGAAGCCACAGTGGTGACACAAGGACGTAGCACTTCACGGCCATTAGAGATGGAGGCGGCAGGGGAGCCCGGGTCAGGGCACAGCCCACCCTGCCTGCCACGGACCCCAGCGAGGTCCTCCCTGCATGGCGGGGACGCTGACTCGCTGCAGCCAGAGTCACACAGCTTAGGGGGACAGAGGACCCAAGTCACACCACAGCTCACCCAGCTGGGGAGCAGCTAAGCAGAGACTGTCACTAACACCCAGGAGCCTAAGGCCAGCGTGTCTTCGCCAATGGTTGAGGAGCCTTGAGCTCCGTGGCCCAGTGACCTGCTAGGGTGGGTCTCTAACAAGGAGAGTTGAGATTTGAACAAAATTGAGCATGGGTACACGCCTGTGATCCCAGCATTCAGGAGGCTGAGGCAGGAGGATCACCAGAGTTTAAGGTCAACCTGGGCTCCATAGTGTTCAAGGCCAGTTTGAACTACATAGTAAGACCCTGTTTCCAACCGCCACCCCCAAAAAGGATTTGAACTAGGTCTGTTTTCAAAATCCCAAACTAACTCTTGTTATGAACCTTGTAACTAGTAATGTTTTCTTCTTAGTTTTTGCTGCTGGAAAGCTCAAAGTCAGATTTAAATTCATTTTTAACAACTGTGCTGTCTCCTACTGTACTTGCTTCTGCTGGTAACTTTACCCTGATCTAGTTTTATTTTATTGTATTGTATCTATTTTTGTAAGTTGCCACAATACCTTTCTTGCAACAAGGTGGCATATATCTAAATAAAATACATGATTCAAAAGCTGGATTTAAAATTCTTTACTAAAGCCAGGTGCACACCTGTAATCCCAGCCCTCAAAGGCTGAGGCAGGAGGATCACCAAAAGTTCAAGGCCAGCCTGTGCTACATAGTGAGTTTAAGGCTAGCCTGAACTACATAGTGAGACCTTGCCCCAAAAGCAAACAAACATATAAACAAAAATATTGTGGCCTACAGCTGGGGAACTAGTTAATTTGTGGAGTGTTTGTCTAACATGTGGCAGGCTCTGGGTTTGGTCCCATTTCCTATTATTTTTTATTTTGCTCTTTATGTATCCTTTTTCTCATGTGAGAGAAACCATGTGGTATTTAAGCTTGTGTATCTGATTTATTTCACTAACATGATGGTCTCAAGGTATATCCATTTTCCTACGGATGACTCAAGTTTATCCTTCTTTATGGCAGAGTAGTACTCCACTGTGAATAAATACATTTTCTTTATCCATTCATCTGTCAATGGACATACAGGCTATTTCCAATATTCAGCTATTCTGAACTGAGCTGCTGTAAACATGGCTATGCCTGGGTCACTGTGATATGACATCTTTAACTCTTCTGGGAAGATACCTAGAACAGGAACAACTGGGTCAAATGGAATTTCTAGTTTTAGTTTTTCAGGGATCTCCATACTGATTTCCAGGTTGTACTAGTTTACATACCCAACATTTAATAACTTTTTAAAAAATAGTTTGGCCAAGCCGGGCGTGGTGGCGCACACCTGTAATCCCAACACTCGGGAGGCTGAGGCAGGAGGACCGTTGCAAGTTCGAGACCAGCCTGGGCTACAAAGTGAGCTCAAGGCCAGCTTGAACTGCACAGCGAGACCCTTTCTCAAAAAGACAAAAACATAAAAAATAGTTTGGCCGGACATAGTTGTGCACATCTGTAACCCCAATTACTCTGGAGGCTGAGGCAGGAGGACCAAAAG